GAGATAGGGAAAGCGACCAGATCTTGCACACTGGCTACCTTCCATGCCGCGGGATTTATCTGCATCATTTTCTCACTGAGATCGCAGTAGCCCTCTGTGAAAGAGATTATGATTTTTCCTTTTTTTAATGTCAGGAAAGCAAGGCATAGAAACACTGGGCACCAACCAAGGGCACACAGCCCTGTCTGTTCTGTAGCCGGGTCTGTCCCAGAAGTGCTGGCTTCCTGTGCTGGGAGAGAGGGGCCAAGTGCGCACTTCTGGGGACTCTTGTCCCTCTGCTTCCAAGCATCAGAACCCCTCTCCCTCCAAATCTGTGTTCCTTCTGGAACAGGATGGGTCCCGAGGGCAGAACCACCACTCTCGGCCCTGTCCTCTCCCCACGGCGCATGCTCTTTGCTCCTTCTGTCCTGGATCAGACCTGTTGGCCTCAGGCAAGGAGTGAGCCATAGAAGACTCAACCAGCCACTTTCAGGCTGTAATTATACCCCAAAAACTCGTCACCAAGAGTCCCAACCCTGACATGCCACCATCACTGTGTAGCGCCCAGGACTCTGGGTCTGGGGCCCTGCTTACAGCAGCCAGCAGGTGTGTGCTCGTGGGCACCCTGGGCTGGGGGGATGCTGGCCAGGGCCCCACCCAGGCGTGTTTGCAGTTGTACGGCATTCTGTAGACTCACCCAGCGCCACAGGGCAGGCGGCACAGCCCTCTGACATGGCCCGTCGTGGGCTCGTGGAAGCATGCCGGACATTTCTCAGGGAGGGAAAGTCATGTCGGGCAACGCAGAGGAGCCCCAGTCTCCTGCAAAGGGACAAAGGAGAGGGACGATCAACACTCTGTTTCATTAATTCCAAAACAGAAAAACGCGAAACTTTCTCTTAAAGCAAGAAAAAGTCTCAGGAGGCGCTCCAGTTCCACAGGCAGCGCCCTGGGGAGTTTTGAAAGAGGTGTTGGTCGGGGAGTGCAATGAGCCCAACGCTCACCCCCAGGCACGTTCTAAGCCTCTCCACAGCCAAGAGGGAGCAGGCCCCCAGGTGGCGTGGCCAGAGCACCGAGGAGCTGGTAGCTCAGTAGGGCTAGTGTGCTCAGCCGGAAATGGGGTGCAGAGGGAACAAGGCCTGTGGGTTAAGCCCCTCACCCTCGGGGAGTCTCTTGTGCTAGGTTTAGTTTTGTTGCTATTGTTTACACCAAATCCCAGAAGCTCCCAGAAGGCAGATGGAGGATTTAAAGCAAGACAGTAACAAGGTCGGAACAGCACTGTAGAGAGATCACACACTGCAAATAAGCCTTTTTAAGGTGTTAACATAGCCACCCGCCCTCCAGGAAGCTGGGGTAAATGGACAGTGGGTCGGGGATGCGTTTACAGACACACCTCGAGAACGCCCACTGCAGTGTCGTTAGTAATAACAAAAAGCAAGAACCCCTTAGATCTTTTTTATCAGGGGTCTTTTGAGCAGAATGGTATTAACTATACCCTGGGTTTGTGAGACACCTTCTTCACTGATCTGTGCAAGGACCGCTTGCATTTTAGGTGTCTATTTTTGTTTTTTCTTTAAATAATATAATGAACACCCATGAACTCATGACCCACCCTGATGACTAGGACTTTGACCAGAGCTTTTATCTCAGCACCTTCTCCTTTCCCAGAGCAATTATGGGTGGGGTTTTCGACAACAGAGAACAGTATAAGCAACAACGGTGCCCACATACCCTGGAATATTAAACAGCTCTTAAAAAGAATGGAACAGCCAAGACCTATTGTCTTTTAATGGATCTCAGTATTTCCTGCAGAACTGGATTAAACGTGGTCCTTTGTTCACAAAGGCTTGCTCATCATTGGTCCAGGCAGGTCCCCTTTTACTTTGCTAATTTACGCATTCACATATTTGTCTGTAATAATGCCATAAGCGCATGAGCCCACTCCCCAAACACAGATCTCCGTAATTACTTACACCTGCCTACACAATACACCCCTACTGGGGACAAGGGCCCACAGCTTTCCTGACAGCAGCGAAGTGCTGAAATAAACGCCGTCCACACAGAGCACAGGCTACTGAGGTGCCGTTCGGAGCAGCAGTGGTAACGGTCTCCACGCAGGTTCTTAAGGGAAGAAACACGAGCTGCTGCAAAAGGAAATGGACAGGGTGGCACCGTGCACGGAAAAAGTAATGAGGCAACATCTCTCAGAGGTGTATTTCACACACGTGCAAATGCACAGAGAAGCTGAACCCCACCACTGACGCTGATAACAGCAGTTAATGTAGGGTGGGCAGGCCCACTTAGCATTGAAAGAAGGGTGAAAGAGGCCCTTAATGTTGATGGTAGTGTTTGATTTTTTACCGAGTGTATTCACTATTAATGCATTTCTTCATAATTAAACATTTTGTGTAGGGTTTTGTTTGTTTGTGCAGTTTTTGGCTTTTGTTTTTACAAATACAAAAAAAAAAAAAAAAAAAGAGCACTCTGGCTGACAGAGTGGGAGCAAGAACATATGCCCAAAGTGAATTCCACTGACACAGGGGATTCGTTTCATCTCAAAGATTTTTTTTTTTTAGTTCGGTTTATACGCTGTGAGCTAAGCCCCGTGTCTCCTGGCCGCCTGGCAGTGATGGCAGTGATGGAAGGCCAGCAGGTGAATGCCTGTGACTGTCACTTCACCACGTGCAGCCCCAAATCCCTCCTGGGTCGCCGGGTGGGTATCTGCAATGCGCCCGCAGGGAGTGCTTTCCTTTTCAGTCTTTAAGAGGCCCTGAAAGCTAATGCCCTGGCCCATGTTCCTGGGGGTTAGCCGAGTGCAATGAGAGCTCCAGGAGAAAGTGACATGAGATGGGTCCAGGCAAAGGATACACGGGCCTCTAGGGGATAGCGGCGGCTCGCGTGCGGCAACAGCCAAGTGGGCTTGCTGGCAGCACCAGGCCCCTGCTGCATCCCGACATCGGTATCCATCATGCAGACACACAACTTGAGTGCTGCCCCGGGGGACTGTGACCAAACAGCAGCACTGGAGCACTGCCTAAGGGCAGGGAACGCCCTTGCTGGTCTCTGCACACTCACCGGCCCAGGAGAGCGAGTTGCACCCAACTCCCCTCGCACTCCAAGGTACCCCAAAGCTCCTGCCTGCACACTCAGCCTCACACACACTGCGCAGGTCCCCAGAAGCCGTTTCGAGCTCTCAGAGTCCCAGCACGGGCAGAGGGCCGAGTGTGCAACCAGGACACGTGGGTCCCATCCCTTGGACAGAGACTCCGTTGAGTGTCCAAGAGCACAAAGCAAGCACTTTAAATCCATCGCTGTCTCAGGTCCCGGCCTCCACCTGCACAGACCACTACTTGGTTCATTGGTCCAACGTCTCCCCTCTCTCTGAGCTCATGCAGACAACCTTTGGAGAACACCATGCTGCTGGGTGGAGACCTATTTCCAACCATGACTTTGTGAGGAACAAACGCAAGCCAGGTCCGCCAGCCCTGTGCCCGCGTGCCCAGCTCTTACTCGCCTTCCCCACACGCGAGGTCCTGCTATTATTACAGAGCACTTTGATAATCTTAGGACAAATTTTTCAACGCAGTGCTCAGATTGGGGTTCTCTGCAGTTACGTCCGGGTTAGGGTAATTCAATGTGGAGATGTCCATTCCTCACAAAGCCTACATAAACCCAGGCAGTGCCAACAGCAATCACACAGCTACCCAAAGGAACCTAGCAGAAACCCCACTCCTAACGCTGCTCCCCTCCTCTCCCCTCTAGATTCTAGAAAATGAGACAGGCTTTCAAAGAGCCCTCTGAGAGACAGGTTCTCAACGACCCCTTCTCATGTGTGGTGAGTGCCTGCATGTGCCAGGCACTCTGTACAGTATCCATGCATTTATTTTTCAATTTGCTATAAGGTGGTTGTTCTCACCAGAGAGAAGGAAAGTAAGAAAGCACTCTCCAGGAGGAATGGTCACCTGCAATCCCTTCCGCTCTATCCTTCCTTTTGAGATTTTGGGCACGTATGCACATGCGCTTGGCTTATTTTTCAAAATGCCAGATGTGGGACTTAAACCACGCAGTTGGCCATGTGGAATCCAATCGCCTAAACCACCAGGCCACCAGCTGGCCCAGTGTAGATATTTAAGGCAACCAACCTACGTTGGAACACTGCTCTCCCCACCCTACAGAGGAGGGGGCAGTGCTGCCATCTGGGAACTGCCCTCTCTGCCCACATCGGAGGTATCCCAGTGGGCATCTTAGGATCACGGTGCTAGATGGTGCCACCTGCCCTGGTCACATGCAGTGGACAGATGAGAGTAATGGGTCGCTCTGGCCTTCTGAGTGCTGTCACTACACGAGCCTGTGTACCACTGCTGGAGAACCCTGCCTCCCCAAGGAGGCTGCAGGTGTGAGAAAGAAGGGCATACATACCTGGCCAGGGCCAAGAAAGTCTAGATGCTGTTCTTCACCAAGGTCAGCCTGAGAGGACCCCAGAGCCCTCTAGGCTAGGTAGCATCCTGGTGGAGGGTGGGGCCGGGCCCACTGACTCACTGCCCGTCCTGGGGCAGCGAGCCTCGGCTGCAGAACGAAGGATGGGAGTTAGCTCCATTCTGAGGGGCCTACAGATTTACAAATCGTCTAAATTTAAACATTAGGAAAAGAGGAAGGATCACTTTTCAGACCTCTTGATTCGATCCTGGGCCAGGCATCTGCTCCCTTCCCAGGAGAAAGCAGTCGCCTCACCTCCACGCCACCTGGGAAGGGAGAGAAGAAAGCGCTGCACACCAGGCTTAATGGTTGAGGTCATGCCGCCTCTCCAAGTTCTCCCCCCGGGCCTCACCTGCTGCCAGCACCCGTCCTGTGTGCCGAGAGGGGGCGGGTCAAAGAAGTAACAAGCACAGCGGGCACCAGAGGGCAGGCCGGAACCTGGTGGGGCCCCTGCAGATGAGGAGAGGGTGCCCAGCTGGGAACATGCAACTCATAACCGCCCATGGAGTGTGGAGGTGGTGGGGCTGGAAGGGGGCTAGGAGAGCTGCCCAGAGTCCTGCAGAGGCCCGGGCCTCAGACTCACATCAACCCTGGTCCATTTGCCAGAGCTCATGTAGGCATCCACCAAGAACAGGGGGCTGGAATGAGGCTCAAGGGCAGGGCTGGACCCACAGACCCATGGATGTGTGTCCCTGGCCCTCGATCCCTCTTCTGAAATAAAGATAATAAAAATCACATCCTCCCGGGTTGCCATAGGATTAAAAGAATTGAAACATGTAACGAGCTAAAATGAGCTCCTGGCACCTGGTAAGGGCTCAAGGAAAGTCATGGAGGTGCCCGAAGGTGCCAATGTGGAAAGCAGAAGCTCATGGCAGAAAGTCACAGACAGCAGGCCCAGAGCCTGAGTCGGCTGTGGACACTTGGTGGAAAATGTGTGCATGACATTTGATGAAGACAGAAATAAGTGTGTCCCATAACTTTTCAGAGAGAAGCGAGTGTCGAGTCAGACGGAACAGGAAGAGATCCACACAGACACGTGCAGCCCAGGTAAGACTCGGGGCTGGGGCCCCATGCTGACCTCCCCCGGGGGGTGCCTGGGAGTGTCCAGGACATACCAGGGTGTGGACGAGCTCTCAGGAAGAAGGCAGGAGAGCTGGCATGTCTGTAAGAGAAGACGTGCACGGAGGGTACTGGAGACCAATGTCCAATGCTCGAGCAGCTATAATTAGCAGGTGCTGGGCCAGCTGTCCTCCTGCACTGACACCAAATAAGCCAGAATGGGCTGGGAATGGTGGCACGAGCCTCTTGGGGAGACGGAGGCAGACAATGAGGCATCCACTTCCGTAGTCTGGTCACCGCACTGCACCTTGGGATGAAGGCGGCCCTGAGGGCCCTCAGATCCCCAACGGGAACTTCCCATCCCATCTACCCCTGTCCATGCCATCAACAGGAGAAGAAGGGGAAACCTGGCTTTGAACCCCGGCTCTGCCTTGTCCTTCTTCAGAGGCCCTGAGCCAGCACTGAGCCTTCTAGCTACCTTCCTTCACTCCCCATCTTGCAGGACCAAACCCAGTATTAGGGAGGCTAGGACCTCACGGACACAATCGGACGCTCAAAGACCTCAGTTTTAATAAGTAAATCCTAACTCCTCGCCAGGGCTGCAGTCCACCCTCTGCACCTCCAGCCACATCCCTCACTCGCTTCCACGTCAGCCAGCGCCTCCCCAGGCAAGTCTGCAGCCCAGGTCTGCAAGCCACTGCTGCAGACCTTCACGGCTCCTGACCCACACTTTAGCCGCCCAACTGCAGCTCACTCTTCGAGCAGGGTATCGCCCCTCTCAGACTAATGGGAAACAAAGCTGACGCCGTACAGGAAATGCTGCCTGAAACCGGACGCCCACGACGGTGGGTATTCTGAAGGCGTAATCCCAGAGGATTCCCTGATGATAGCGACCCCCAGACTTGTCTGCAGCATTTGACAGTCTGCAAAGGAGACCGGTACAGGAGGCCCCACCCACTTCGTAAACGGGGAAGTCAAGGCTCTGCAGGGCCAGCCAGCCTCTGCCTCCCACCTGCCCCAGTCCCACCAGCCCTGAGGCGGGCTCTTCGTTTGTCATTAAGGCCCACCTCCTGTAGGACTCCAAAACCACCAACCCCTGGGCCAATGGCCTCGTGGGCTTGTCTCCATAGCCAGGAGAGCAGGCGTGGGGAGGAAGCCCACCAAGACAGAGCAGAGGCCACGCGGAGACTCCCAGGCCAGGCTAAAGATCAGGACAAGGTCTAGAAACTACACCCTCCACGCTTTCACCATTGCCTAGATGTAGGGGCCCCAGCCGAAAGGAGCTGGTGGAACAGAGGCAGGGTCGGAGGTCCTGAGCTCCACCTGCTTG